GCAGCTTCAGAATGGCTAGAAGAATTTAGCCGCGGTCCGTGAGGGCCGCGGTAGCATAATTGGTCAGTGCATTCGCCCGGATTGCGAAGGGTGCGGGTTCGAGTCCCGTCTGCTGCCTAGTCCGCGTGGAATTTTTTCTAGTTATATTTTCTTTATATATTAACGACTTCGCCACAGTAGTAGCTTCACCAATAATACTGTTTGCTAATGACAGTACTGTAATTTTTTCAAATAAAAGTTTATCCCTATTACAAACTGTCATAACTATGACACTTGACAAAATTGTAGACTGATTAAAAAGAAATAATTTATTAATTAATATGGACAAAACTAATGTTATGACATTTTGAAATAGACCTAGAACTCCCGTCTCAATCGACGTTGAGCATTGTGGAAAGAGCGTTAAGGAAGTGGACTTAATAAAGTTTTTAGGAATAACTGTTGATTGTAACCTTAACTGGAAAGCGCGTATTAAGTGTGTTTGTGTTAAACTCAGGAAATCTCCTATGTTCTATACATGCTTGGTAATGTGGTCCATATATCGACAGTACTAATATCGTATCTTGCGAATAGCATAGTTGCATCTACGTTACGGTATGGGGTGATATTTTGGGGGAACTTAGTTGACAAAGAATATGCATTTAAAGAAATGTATAAGGGCTATTTGTTAAGCAAACTGACAGTTGTAAACCGCATTTCATATCATTAAAACTTATGACATTGCCATGTATTTACATATATGAAATTGCTGTTTTTGTTAGAGCAAATTTAGACCTATATGTTACTTTTAATAGTAGAAGATTCGAAACCAGACTTTGTTTACCATCTAACAAGAGATGGCTGATGAATAATAGTGTACTTTGTATGGCACCTCAGGTATATAATAAAATTCCTCTTGAAATTAGAAAAGCTGAAAGCCCCAATATATTTTGTTCTAAATTAAAGAATATATTAATTGAAAAGGCGTATTTATTTATTTATTTATATATTTATTCTTTATTACCATAAAAACAGTAAATGGCGGACTTAATGCCATAGGCATTCTCTACCAGTCAACCAGTAAAGGTGTAGGAGATGAAATGTAATGGCGATAGAATATGAGCTACTTAGTGTGAATCATGAAAACTATCTACTATACCTAACTATTCTATAACAACAATAAATATAAAATACATATTATACCTACACATATACTGATACACATATATATTCATATAAATATATACATATTTATAAATAAATATATAAATAAACATACATACACTAATATTAGTAAAAAAAAATATGATGATATATAGATGACTACAGATTAAGAGGAAAATTAGTTTGACAGATAGTGAGCACGCACTAGTTTTTTGAATTGTAGCTTATTACGTGCACTGCGAATATTCAGTGGCAAAGCATTCCAAAGACGTATAGCTGTGATGGCGAAAGATTTGGAAACGAACCCTGAATGGTGAAAAATAGTTTTAAGGGTAAGGTGCCTGCAAGAGCGAAGATCACGTGGTCTGGAGGGACCCAGAAACTGAAACCTAGATTTCAAGTATTCTGGGGCACGTGGATCGTATAGAACACTGAAAAGCATGCATAAAATTCTGAGATTTCTACGGTCACGTATGGACAGCCAATTGAGTTTATTTTTATAGTGGGAGATATGGTCGACTTACGTAAACCGAAAATAAAGTGGATACCGCTGTTGAATAAACGATCCAGCTTAGAAAGAAGGTTTTGATTGGTGTCAGAATAGCAGACGTCAGCATAGTCAAGGATAGGAAGAACGAGAGCCTGTACCAGCGAAACCTTTGTACTGGAAGGGAGAAAGAATTTTAGCCTGTACAGAGCCCTAAGTGTATTAATTACTTTACGGCACACTTCTTCAACTTGATTCTTCCAGCTGAGAGTACAGTCAATGAGTAGGCCAAGATTCTTGACGCATGGTTGAAATTTAATTACAGTACCATTGTATAATAATGGATTCAGTGAACCTACATCCAGAAGGGCCAACTGCCGGGAACCACCTATTATAATTGCTTGACATTTTGATGGATTAACAGAGATACCATAACAGTTGGACCATTCCGAAATCCTCTGAAGGTCATTATTCAGGCATATGAGGGCCTCATCTAAACTATTTTTATCTGCATGAACATAAAGTTGGAGATCGTCAGCATATAGATGGTAAGAGGAATGAATCATAGTAGTAAGGAAATTAATAAATAAAGAAAAAAGAAGAGGAGAGAGAATACCGCCCTGTGGAACACCAGCAGTGAGAGTGCACCAGTCCGAGATGGTTTGGTCTACCCATACAGCCTGCTGGCGTCCACGAAGATAAGATGAAAACCAGGTCCCTACTGAAGAAGAAACTCCTGCTTGTGAAAGAATTGCGAGGAGAATATCGTAGTTGACCATATTGAATGCGTTGGAGAAGTCTATTAGGACCATAACAGTCAACTGCGAATTTTCCATACCGCTACGAATGTCGTCAAGGACATTGATAAGGGCAGTGGTTGTACTGTGACCTGGACGGAACCCAGATTGTAGTGGGCTGAGAATTTTGTGGCAAAAGATAAAAGAGGTGAGTTGGCTGTGCACAGCAGCTTCTAAAACCTTGGAGAGAAAAGGAAGAATAGATATGGGCCGATAGTGGCTCAGAGATGAGGGACTATTAATTTTAGGGAGAGGCGTAGGAAGTGCTTTTCTCTAGATAGAAGGAAAGGTACATGATGAAAGGGAAAAATTAAGAATAAAGGTGAGACTTGGAAGTATACATTCAAGTATAGGGATAATCATAGTCCTGCTGATATCGTCACATCCCACTGCCTTAGATCTTATGGAAAGGACAATCTTACGGACCTCTTCTTCAGTTAAGGGACGAAAACTGAATAATTCACTAGAAAAGGGAGCAATGGAAGTTATAGAGGAAACAGTAGAGAGCATAACTGAAGTAGGGAGAGAAGAAACTGAAGAGAAATGTTTGTTAAGCTCATCCAATGAAAAAGAAGAGGTAAATTTTGAGAAAGTTTTACCAAAACCTAGAGTACGAAGAAACTTCCATGTATCGGCTAGATTTGAATTTGAAATATTCTGATGGATGTATTGGCGTTTAGCGACTCTGGCTACGGGAGACGGCTTTGGAAATCTCGTAGTGAGCATGTTCAGTTCGTCCATCGAAAGAATACGTACTTTGTTACCATCCGGAGTAGAGATGCAAATATTACCGCTCGAGTATTATAGTATTAAAAAATTTTTAGAACACAAATCTTTGTAAATGGATGTACCTATTTGTTTATTTTAATTTGCATGCCTTGTGGTGAAATATGGAATATACTTCTAACGTATTATAATTTAACACCTTTGTATCACCTCTATTTGCAAATAAATAATTGATTGCTTGATTGATATAATATAATTGAACCTTTGCTCTTAACATATATTTGACTACTTTGTTACCTCATATTTTTATGAAGCAGACTGTAAGCTGATTTTTATGTCTATAATGATATTAAAAATTAGAAATTGTGGAACATAAACGTGATTTTATCGGAGCGACGTGGACCTTGCGTCCAAACGGCACTAACGCGCAGTGCAGACTGAATACAAACGTGGGCAGTTACCGTTTTTATATTAAAATAGTAAAAAAACACCTCAAACGAATTAATATAGAAAAAGTAACTAGTAGAAATTGTTAAATACACCATTACAATTATTTTAGTATAAAATTCAAGTAGAACTATTATTTATTAATTAAAGGTTAGCCAGAAACAAAAACATTATTACAATCTAAACATACATGCTGGTAACTTATATCTTAATGGTTTCGTTATATTAAGGCAAACACAACATGTGTGAAAATTTATCGAATAGATACATATATAATATATACTAATATGAAGAAAATACAGTCTAAAACAAAACAAAACAATACAATACAGCCAGGATAGCATTTTGCTAATTTTGACCAAAATAGACACACACTATTGTTATTGATTGACACAAAACTATATCTGCTGCTTGACTCTGCTTAAAGTAATAGCATGGAAGTCGATGATATCACTGCAGCAATTATATATCTTGCACAGTCGACGAATGGCGAATTGAAACCAGCTACTGTACATCAAAGAGGTGGACAAAGAGGTGTAATTGACTTACGGGATTGAGCCGGTACTCGAAATCGTATTCTACTCAGTAGGTTACGACAATCAATTTAATTATTTAACAGTTTATAAAGAAATACTAAGTCGTTAATTTCTCGTTGTTTCGCTAGTGTTTTCACTCCAAAATGCTGAAGTCGGGTGTTATAAGTAACTGTGCGAATTCGTACTTTATTAATTAAATTAGCTAATAAATTCAAGCATAGACACTTAAGTTTTAGAAATCTTCCATTGAAAGATTAATCACAATATCAGTTATGTAGGATAAGATAATTTTAAAATCAGGTTATCTTAAAAACCTAAAACACCTTCAACACAAAAAACATTCTTTTAACTATTTTAATTTATTAAAGATTTTGTTACAATTTAACTTAGTTTAGTGAGTGTATCCAAGTCTCTTATTAAAATATATTCCGACGTGTCGGTCTTTCACATGTAAATGCGTCCGTTTCGAACCCAGACATGTTTGTAGCCCTTTTCTTTGGCAGATACACGAACTGCGTGAAGCGCATTATTCCCTGGTGATAAATATTCCAGTACAAAGATTGGCTTTATATCTCCTCCGTACCCAGTATCAGATGTATCGATTTTTTCAGAGACTGGTTTAGTTTTATTATACTTGATAACCGCTGCCAAGTATTAATCACGAACACTAGGCGAAGCAAATTGGGCAACTATGGGTCTTGGCCGTTAAGAGTTCTTATTCTGTTTATCTATACGTGTACAGTTCGGTATTTCATCCACGGAGACATTGCATTCTATAACTTTAGCCACATTAAAGACAATATCCACCAAATTTTCTTCCTTGTTTTCGGGTACACATTGTTATTGTGTTATTTGAACGATAACTTTGTTTCATTTTGTTCAAACGCTGAGATATATCTTCGAATGATGTCTTTAGATAGTCATTATCTTTGCGTAGTTCCTTCATCAATGCTTTAGTTTCACTATTTTCCTTCATTACGTCTTCGTATTGATCACCCAAGGAACCTATATAATTCTTCAACTCCCTAACCTCATTTTTCATTTCTTTTAATTTAGAACTGAATATAGCAGTTAAAGATTTTGTATTTCTATCAGTGAATCCGTTCAGTTCTTTTTGCATAAATTTCTCAACAATAGTCCGAATTTCCTTCTGCATCTTAGTAGATTCTACGGCTGCCGTTTATTTGCCCTAGGTTCGGCATTTGGGTTAAAGCGCACTGGAGTATTATCTTTAATTAACCTTTTGATATTGTCATTAACACACTCTGGACATGTCCACCCTAATCCTGCTTCTTCTATTATATTATTTGTGATGGCCAAACATTCATAATAAAATGAGTGAGTCATCATTTGTTTGACCCAACATGCAACATCCCCTGTCCATCGTCGTATCTGATATCTTACTTATGCTTATAGTGAAACTGAGAGAATAATAAATATGCGAGAATGTTCAAATTGTTCAATGTTCAACAGTTTATAAAAATATCAATATATAGAAAAAATCACGACGATAAAAAAATATATTGCACAATCAATAACTATGTCCTTAAAAATCACAAAAAATCAAATAACCTGGTGAAATTTTTGAAGATGAGACGGTCTTTGTTTTTAATATATGGGTATGGAGATGGCAGAAAAAACAATATAAATTCGCACAAAAGTTCACAAAACAAAACTGATTTAAAGTTCAGATACAACGTTTTTTCACTGTTCAAAGTTTATATTTCAATGTTTAATATTAATTCAAGAAACTTCGATTCAATGCATTGTTATAATGCCTCGCCAACGCTACCATTTATTTATCTACTTGTCGAACACATCCTGATTGCACTGCCACACTAACAAAATTATCCGCATTTTAATTTTAAATAAAACACGGAGCAACGTTCGCTACGCGCGCGCTTCGTAGGTTACATTTGATAATTGATTAAGTACAAAGAAAATAATATGAAAATCGGTCTCTTTACTGTATCGTTATTTAATGTTAAGCAAATTTAAAAACATTTCAATCAATATTAAATGCTTTTGATGATTTTAAGAATTAACACATAGTTTTTTTTGGAACTTAATGACTGCATTCTTCAACAAACTTGAAGTTCACTGTTATACTTAATACCAATAATTGAAACCCCGAATCTCACAATATCTCTTAAGAACATTATTCCTAATATTTGTAGCCCGAATGCACGCTATCCCTAATAACTTTAGACCTATAACACTGTATACCTAATATTTCGATCCCGAATGCACGCTATCCCTAATAAGTTTGAGGCGAGCTAAACTGTACTTCCAGGGCCCAAGTGGTGATAGGTTCGTGTTGAAAAATAATACCAATTCTAAAGTTATTAGGGTTAGCGTGCATTCGGGATCGAAAAAAATAGGTATACAGTGTAATAGGTCTAAAGTTATTAGGGATAGCGTGCATTCGGGCTTCAAATATTAGGAATAATGTTCTTTAGAGATATAGTGATTCGGGGTTTCAATTATTGGTATTAAGTATAACAGTCCTTAAAGTTACGCTGTTTTTTCGTATTAAACGATATAATAGCCTTAACTATTTGTTCTTAAGTTTTCACGCACACCAATCATTAAATGAAATTCGCTTAAACGGGGTTAAAATGCATATCTTTTATTACTTTTTTACAAAGCTTAACGTTTCGCATCCTTTTCAGGATGCGTCATCAGAATAATGATTTTTATTAACTTTTGACGATCTGCCTTCGAAACACCTTTATTAAACGTTCGGATACATCATTAACATATAAATAAATAAAGAAGATTATTAAAAAAAAATTGACAAAGTATGAATTTATTATACTCTTTTATTATACTCTTTATTGCATCATATAGTTTAAAACATATAGTCAAATACATAGAAAGCAAAGGTGGGCTTATCTCTAAAAGAGATCTCTTCCAGCCAACCTAGGTGGTGTCGGAGATTCAAAACTTAGCAGGAAACAGAAAGTGTAATAAAAATTAAACTAAAAATAATTTATTACTACTGTTATAGGAAAGAGACTAAATAAATAATAGTTGTATATATATATATATACTATACACATTATACAATACATATACCTACATAAATAAACTTGCATAAACATACCTAGATAAATACAATACCTATCTAAATATACATAACATACATATAAGCCTGATAAATAAATACTACTAAGAAACAAGATACTTCGTGAGAATGATTCATTAAGTTTGAGATTTCTGTTTGAGAAAATGATCTTTGACTTTAGACTTAAACGATAAGATGGTCGGAGATTCCTGAATATTGGACGGAAGTTTATTCCACAGCTGTGCAGCCCTAAAAGAAAAGGAATTTAAATATGATATTGTATTACTTTTAGGAAGCTCAAGGGTAATGCAAGGTCGTCTAGAGCGTGAAGGAGGGGGAAGAAACTTAAATCGGGAACGCAGGTATACTGGGGAGTTAGGATCTTTGAGAATCTTGAATAAGAAGACAAGCATATGCAAATCTCGGCGAAGACGAATAGGGAGCCATTGAAGTAGAGAGCGATAAGCTGACACATGATCATACTTCCGCAGACCAAATATAAATCGTATAGCTAAATTTTGGAATCGTTCTAATTTATTGAGTAGCTCTTCATTTGCATCAGGATAACAGACATCGGCGTAGTCGAGAATTGGAAGAAGGAGTGATTGCGCTAATATAATTTTGGTTTTAAATGGTAAAAAGTATTGGAGTCGCTTGAGAGAGTGGAAAGAGTAATGGATACGCTTGCTAACTTCACCAATATGCGGGGACCATGACATGTCCATAGTCAAACCAAGGTTTTTAACTTTATCAGTGTATGGTATTGGAATATTGTTGTAGAGGAGTGGAGGAACAATACTCCAATCCAGTCTACTCCAGAGCCGGCTGCTACCCACAATCATAGCCTGACATTTGCTTGGATTTATTGCCAGACCAAACGAAGTTGCCCAGCTTAAAATGGAGACCAGATCACGATTTAACAAGGCAATAGCATCGCAAACTTTACTTGTTGGAAAGTTTCGGTAGATCTGAAGATCATCAGCATACAAGTGAAAAGGAGAAGAGATAATAGAAGCGATCTTATTAATGAAGAAGGAGAAGAGTAAAGGAGAGAGAACTCCACCTTGCGGTACACCTGCCAATACACGTACCCAGTCAGAGCACGAGTCATTATAGACCACTCGTTGGAAACGGTCAAAAAGGTAACTCCGAAAACATTCTACAACTGCAGGAGAAACATTAGCAGACTGAAGAGTGCCCAAAAGAAGGTCAAAGTCGACACAGTTGAAAGCACTGCTGAAGTCAAGCAGAATTCAAGACGTAAGCTTGGTATTATCCATTGCATGTCGAATGTCCTCAGTGACATCAAGCAGTGCTCCGACAGTGCTATGTGAAGGATGGAAGCCAGATTGCTGGGGACAAAGTAAAGAATTAGATGAGACAAAGGAATAAATCTGATTATGAACAATGGACTCAAGGACTTTGGATAGGATTGGAAGTATAGAGATGGGACGATACTGAGACAGAGAAGATGTATTTGGAATTTATTAACTCATTTAATTAAAAAACTGCTATATTTGATTCCTTTTCAATTCTTTTGTTTTATTTATTTGATTCTAATTACCGTAAACTACCACCGTCCCAAATTGGGAGACCTTTTGGAGAAGAACTGGCGGAACAAACTTAGAGAGGCTCTTTGTCTCGTCCATATGTTAAATCACGTAAACAATAAGAACTAATATTATCTGTTGGTATTACAGTACGTGTTCGGGTTGGGATTTTAGCTGTTGAATAATTGCTTTCCAAATTGGTATATACCAACCATATTCTCTATTGAAATTTGGATATTTCTTAATTTCAATAGTCTCGCGTATCATCCTAGGAATGAATCGTTGTTCAGTTCCAAGGATCGGCGGTTTATCAAATCTAATGTAGTGGTAAGCTTTGTTAAAAAGTAATAAAGAAACGAATTTTAAATCCATTTACGTGGGCTTTATTTAATGTTTTTTTAACTATTTTTTACCTAAAAATTCATTAACATCACTCCAAAATATAAATCCTCATGCGCGTGTTTAGGAATATGTGTATGAAGAATTGAGGATATTAGGTGCCATTTTCGTCGTATGTTGCATTTTCTAATAATGAAATTGATTTAAGTGCGACTATTGTATGACCACTACCTTCGCTATCAAATTATAAATGTAGACTTGACAAGAATACCTATAGTAATAGATAGAATTGAGGAACGTATTCAAAATAGATTACTTAAAGGGCACCAAATGTTATCTACAAAAAATTAAAACCAATTTATAATATTATTTTGAAAATTATGTTTGACAGCGGAAATCCATGACAAAGTTACATTTAATATAGTTTTATTCTTTGTTTTAAATGTTGTAGTTTGCTTCCGATTAGGTGCAACATACCTGAAATTAAATATTAAAGAAAGGATGTATCCCACCAGCTTGATATAAAACACAAATAACCTCAAACATTTTCATCAAAACCTATTGTGTGTGAAATTCCGTGATATATAGGATAAATTAGCATAACATATAAGTGCATTGAGAACGATTTGTCATGGATGTCTGCCTTATGTTTGGAATTAAAAACTGATAAAACAGTAGCAAACGATGCTAAGCCAATAGATAACAATTCTAATGAAACCTGGGTATTTGGAGGGCGATTTCGTCCAAGCTGTCGATGGGCTCGCTGAGTGGGCGCTCGAGCAGGCGCGACGGAGCTGTTAGTGTGTCCGAAGTCATGTTTCGTCTGTTATGCGTATTTCTGTTGCACTTCTTTCGCTTCTCCTCAGCTCGTCGCAGATTGTGAAATCGGAAGAAGAATATCGACATTATATTCCGTTTTACAATGCACCGTGCTTTGTCTATATTAGAGTAAAAGTTCTATCGAATATGCGAATAGTTCACTTGCACTACGAAACAACCAGTTATGTGTGAGGTTTAGAAGTTATAAAATAAATTTAAAATAATTAGAGTTTTTCATTGAAGTATTTTCTGAGTTATGTTGAACCACTAGCTATCTATAGCTATATATATTATACGGAACCTACATTTCATTCGCAACAAGGGTTCATGCCTCAGGATTTTATTTACTGTTGAAATTCTTTTATAATTTTAGATCTTGATAAGTTTTCAATTAAATTAGTAATTTAGTTTTGTCAGCCAATATAATGAAGGCAAAAGTGTAAAGGACCAGTAACAAAATTTTATTGGCTCACCTTATTATTTTGGGTATATGTTATAATGTTAATATTTTATAAAAATGGTCAATCTGGTTGGATGGAGGGTAAGTAAAGAATGAATATTTTAGAAAAGATTATACAATGATAATATTTTTATATAGTTCTAGTTTTTACTCTAAGCTATTTCATTCACGTCTTCTACTTGTGACTTGTCGCCCCTCAACCTTACTTCTCATTAGTGATAAGTCTTGTCATGTTTTCGCTCTTCGCTTCTCCGGCTTTGTTAGAGAGTTCGAATCATTAAACTTATATTGAGTCCAAAAAAAATTAAACATGCTACGGTTAATTAGTTTCTAGTTCCACATTATGTGTGTATGGAACGTTATACAGAATAGTTCTCGTTTTTTCTTATGGTTCCTCATATTACGCCAACTGCTCTCTATAGACGGAGGAAATTATACTTGAACGGATTCGTTATCTTTATTCCGAGTCAGATTATGTGCGTATAAAGGGCATGTCTGAAATTATAATACAATGTCTTTGTCCACGAATATTTATTATGGTCGTGGCTATAAATCCATTTTCCCGCGTATTTTAGACGTCATTGAATGCAATGCATTTAAATACATATAAAAATTGTCGAAACTACTTATTAGTATACAATAACTCTGACAAAATTGATTTAGAAAAGTTATCATATTTTTGTTAAACTGTCTTTAGCATCATTCATAGTCTTTATTTACATTTGAACTACCTATATGATATTCAATTTACTTTAAAAACTAATTTTTCACCCTGAAAACCTGATTGTATTTTTCAGCAATCGTATACATACCATTTAACTTTGCCTTCTGTGACATTATCACAGAAGGCAAAGTTATCATATTTTTGTTAAACTGTCTTTATCATCATTCATAGTCTTTATTTACATTTGAACTACCTATATGATATTCAATTTACTTTAAAAACTAATTTTTCACCCTGAAAACCTGATTGTATTTTTCAGCAATCGTATACATACCATTTAACATTGCCTTCTGTGATAATGATTTGTGACTTTATTAATATTTTCAAGAAATCTCTAATACTAAAATTGATTTTATTTAGGTACCATTTTACCTTACTATTAACGCTGAGTAAAGTATTTTAATATAATATATTCCCATTTCGAGAACAGATCGTGATAAAAAATACATTTCGTTATAAATAATGATCGCCGTATGTGGATTCAGGTCGGAATGTTTTGTATTATTAATAGGTAAGCCCTCGCTAAACTGGAATCCGATCCGATGTGATTTTGCATTTGTTAAGTTTTCAGGTAGTAGGTTAAAAGTACTGATGAAATTTGTGTAACAATTTCAATTGTTTTAAGGAAATAACTTGAAATAGGTACTGCTAACAATAAATACACTGAGCGGATCATAAATCTGGCTTTCAGGAAATAATTTCTTTGGCCACTCGAGTTTCTAGAATTGATTTCCAAGTTAAAAACAATTGCTGTAGCCAAAAACAAAACTATTCCGTAGTATTAGGTATCAGTAGTAAGTAAATGTAAAATCTTATTTCATATGTTATTTAGTACTCATTGCTCTTAAAATAAGATTTGTTTTCGAAATATGTCAACACGTTGAAAAGTTAGGAGATTTTGCATAAAATAACAATTAATTAATTAAGACATGGTAATTAAATCTTGCTATATATATATTTATTGCAAAAGATTTAAGTTTATTTAAAAAACATTGTACATCATTTTCGGATATTAAATTGCGAAAATAATTGCGAATCATCTTCAATAGTCTTTGTCATATTTGCATATACTGTTTGACAGTGGTAAGACGTGAATCATTAAATGCGTAGGAATTTTAGATATGGCTTTTGTGTAGTAAATAATATGAGTAATTTGTGCCAGCGGATGCGTCGTTATTTATATACCTATATTTATTATAGATATATTCATTTCAATTATGAGCTACACGAGAGACTTAATAATCATTTGAATAAATAGAGTGAGCACCGTTATGAAAAGTAAACGTACTACACCCCAACATAGAAACATTGATTTATATCGTTTAGAACATAACAGCGAAAATTTGTAATAAAAGACCATTATGGAAGTATTGTCCGTTTAAAGTACGTAGATTCTAAAAGGAGTGTATTTGAATCAATTTAAGACAACGAATATTGTTATGGTTTCATAATTGCCCAAATATTGACTTTAAGTGGAGAAATAATAAACTAAAAAAGAGCTTGTCTGAATTCGGTAGTAAACTTTCTCAGGTAATTCAAAATTGATTACGGTCCGCGTTATAATATCACTTTTTAGTAATCAAATATTACCACTTTACGCATAATGGCTTTCTTAAACGCCTTTGTTTCTGATTCAGTCACAAGGTGAAAAAATGTTGAGGTTGATCAGTGACGGTAACGACAAAAAGTGGAATGTCGGGCTTGTTCCAAAAAATAATGTAAAGCTAGGATTTACTGAAATTTATAATTTGTGAAGGTAAAAAAGCTTTATCCTGCAACTTCTTATTTATTATTTCTCTTTTGTGTAATATTTTAAAATGATACAGGCAAATATATATTTAGATCACGTTGCACTTATTTAGTCGAGTTAGCTTAAGTGCGTATAATCAGAACTTGATATTTCTTTCCAAGAGTTAAACAAGAGTTAGGAAAAATACAGAGATATATTGAATAGTGTGAACTTCCAACTTAGCTTCGACATTACCTGAATACGAATCACGGAATACGAAATCAGTGTCTTAGTTCACCAGATCAATTGAATAAATTTGATGGGGATCGTATATAACACTACATTTCTCTAATCAATCAGCCTCGTCAATAGTGAAATCGCTAATTAAAATTATTTGGAAGAACTGTCCTAAGAAAGTATTTCCAGTTTGTCATAATATTTTTTTGCTATTTTCAAATGCAGTTCTTATATTTGCGTTGAACTGTATCTTCAAAGTGTTTAAGGTAAACTTATGCTATACTTGCGACAATAATAATTATTTAACTCTTTAATATGGGGAGAAAGAGAGTTACTTGGAACTTGAAAAAAATGTAGTTAAAAGGTGTCACAAATAGAATTGAATTTGACAATTGAAAATAAATGTTGACAATAAAAATTCCTTCTGCATCCATATCCAATAATCAAATACACTTTATTTCTTAATATATGAGTTTATATAGAATAGCTACTTTTATTTATTTATTTTCAACTTTATTGATCAAAAATACTTAGGAATGGTGCAAAAGCCGGACATAGGGCTAATATCATTCCCTCCCAGTCATCCTTTGGTAAAAATGAAAAACATGAACGGCGGACGTACATTCACGGAAACAAGTTAGTAGTGGCTAGTGATGGGGAAAACGGCTTAAATTTATTCAACGTTTGATCGTTGTGCTTTTTTTATAAGCACGCTTTATAAAAGCTTTTAGTTGTGTGTTGAATATGTTGCGTATGTGAAGCGCTTTGGAAAACGTTTAAATATAAAGCTGATGCTTATGTTGTCAACGATAAATGTAACCAAGCGTTGAAAGCTTATTAACATTAAGCAGAATGAAAGTTTTAACATAATCATCTAAAAGGCGTTAATAATATTTCTTAGCATTTTATTTAATAATCAATAAACTTCTCTTCATACTTCTCGACATGATTTATTTATAAGCGGTATATAAAGTGATAATTATTTACACAAAACTTTAAACACTTAATATTTTTATTAAATAAATAGTATTTATTTACACAAAAATCTATTAACAGTGTTTATTTATACACCCAACAAACGTATAGAAAATTTTTGATCACTAAAGTTAATGTAAGCAAAATTACGTAAAATTAATTATAAAACGCAACAAAAGCGCACACAGCATACAAACGCGTACTCAGCTCTTGACGTTGAAAAGTGTACTGCTTAATTTGCTTTTGCTTTTTACATTCGCTTACACTTTTAAACGAAATGAATACCAAGTAATGCTTTTTTGTCGTAATGCAGCATTCATTTCCCATAATATCGAACTCGAAGTAATTTTATGGTAAAACATAGATGGCGTGACAGTCAAAGCATGCTTTATTACCTAATACGTGTAATTTTGTATAGACAAATAGATGGCGGGCGGGACTAAGCAAAAAGCGTGTTGCTTATCAATTTATAAGTATGCTGCTGTGCTTTTATTAAATAGCATATTTTTTGTTGCTTATCGTTTAAACGCTCACTTCTGGTAGTGGCACATTTTGTCGCACAGCGACTTACAGAAAATGTGTCTGATTTTTCATATACATGGTTAGGTTCTGTTAAAAAAAATCGTAGAATTTAATTATTATATTCAATTACAATGAATTCAATTTTTTCTATATCCTAAAATAACAACAAAACAAACGAATATTTTTTATTTATAACGCAAATATTAAAGATTTGAAGGGTCAAATAATAAAATTGAAAAGTTACCAAAATCGGAGGATTGGTAAACGAAACTGACCGTAATCTTTAAAGTTGTTACTCCGTAATCATACTTTGAGGGTTATTACTTTGAAATTACTCTCTCTACCGAGTA